ACCACTCAGCAGGCAGAACACGTGCATACCTCAAATACAGGAAAAGCATGGACAATGTAATGATTATTATGTGCTTCTCATGGAGTCAACCATTCATAACTCCCTAAGAACAATTCCATATCCTTCTGCTATGTGAGGAAGATGCTCCTTTCTCTGTCTCAAACTCCTTCCATTTTCATCATGCCAAAGCCACAGCTCAAGTCTTGGTGAAGCAATGTACAAGGGCAATTTCAATCCACATAACACATGTAACCAAATAGTGTACTGCTCAGTGTATTCCAGAGTTTGGGAATGCTGATGAAGCTTCCACATTGCTTTCAATATGCTGTAGAGCTCAGAGCTGCCAAAGAAACTGGAGGTTCTTGCCATTAAATTGGGGTCCAGTGTGTCACAGAGCGCATCTTGTTTTTGACTAATTTGAAACTTGAAATAGTATCCATGCTTTTTTCAGAGCTGGTGAGTAATCAATGGGAGGCCAGATTCATGTCTCTATGTTAGCACTGAAAGAGATTTTCACAGTGGGTTTGGATCTCTAAGAAACTTCTGCCCTATGATACCACCTCCTCTCCTAATTTCCATATATTAAATTTCATTTTGAAACAACTGAACTGCTTTTTCCCCCTCACTGCACTCCTATGAGGAACCCATTGCTTTAAGCTCCATAAGGATTTTATGAAAGACTAACAGAGCAAAATTTACCCATAATAACCTCTGTAATTCTAGTCAAAATGGCAGATTTTTAGCCAGTGTCCAGCACATTCCACATTTTAACGCCACAGCAAGCCTGTGAATGATATTTCCCTGCCAGATGCCTAATTTTGCAGTTATCTGACAGCATTCCCACGTATTACATGCTGCAGTAGAGTTGGGAGAAGATCTCTGCATCAGGACTGTCTTGGCACCATCAAGCCTGTGTTCCATCCCTTAATAAGTTTTGTTGCCTTTCTCTGCATCTTTTCTAACTTCACAACGTCCTTCTTGAACAGAGCTACACAGTGCACTTGAGATGTGACATCAAGTGAGACTTTGGTAAGAGCATGTAACACGATGGGCAGTGCAACAATGAAAGCAGAGTAAAAAAGGCCTAGGATGCAGCAAGTGAGAGTTTGCTCAAATGCAACAGCCATGGGCACAGAAATAACAGAAATAACAGAAATAACCTGTTTATCTTCAGAAGACCTCAGGTAGGCAAGGATCTTTAGCAAGATATCCTCACCTCTACTGCCAACCTTCAAATGAGGTCTGGGAAGGAGTGAATGAATACACACATACTACTTAGAAGTGAATTGCTACAAAATGATACTGACAGATGTCCTCAGAAATGGCCCATGGTGGAGAGCTGGCTAGTCATACAGAGCTGGCTCTCCTTAGTCCTTAGTTAACAGTTGTTAAGTCATTTTAAAGCTAAAACTACATGGAATAGTTTCCAAACTTTTCCATGTGTTTAATAACAATCCACACCACAAGTGCGTTTCAAAATTGCAAAATGGAAAGAGGAGATACACAGAAGACATGGAATTAAAATGTGATCCATGGTATGAAAAACAAATGAGAACCCTGGATAAAACCTAGTGAAGTTATTTCAAGTCATAATAGAACAACAATGATGAATTTGTTAAATCTGGAGTACATGTGGAACTCATCTGAAACACAGAGCCCCAAAATAAATACACTGATTTTGAAAGTGATGCAATGAGACATTGGTCCATAAGCAACTAGCAGAGGACATTCTAGCCTGCAATTATAATTTTATAGACAGAAGTTTAGTAACTTTTTAATGTGTATTAATATTTCTTGTTTATGTAATTGTTCAGTCGGACAGCGTTCTCCTCCTCAGTTTAGTGACTCTGGAAATCACACTGCTGGGTAGAGTGAAGTATCTACCAAACCTAGAAGATGAGTACAAATAGTGTATGAGTCTTCAAGCTTTGAAGAAAGCCAAAGGCAAAAGTGTGCTTTCATATACATGACAATAATTTTGAATCAATCAAGATTTTCTAACACTGGTGTTTTTCAAAAAACGGCTCAATCCAATTTGTACTGTAAATGTGTTGCCAACATGTCCACAACAGGACTAATGTAGTTAATCTTCTGAAATCTTTTCCAGCACTGCATTTCTAGTATTTGATCCCATTTAGCATGTGCTGCCTCATTCTGAATTAAGCTCCAGTGTGCCCAGCATGTCCTTCATAGATTCTGTCTAATCTCTACTTGAAAGATCTCACTGATGATGATTCAGCTACTTCCCAATAGAGGCTGTTCCAAAATTTAAGCCTTCTGGATATGACTACAGAATAACTCTGTTTTCCATCTACTACATGTTTTGTATTTGTAGTTCTTTGTAGTTCTTAGCAATTTTTCATTACTTGCTGTTATGGACATGATTTTGCAATAGTTTAGCCCATTTTCATGTGCTGATTTCTGTCTATTCACTGGGTAAGGAACTTAGTCTCTAAGATGGCTTTCTTTACTCCATTCCCAGAGCTAGGAGCTTACAAGCCAAGAGATGCTGAACACTGAAGGACGCTGATAGACCTGGATGTATGTGTGCCTCCAGTTTATGAGACTTATCTAATTATAAAAGTTATTTCAGAAGATGGTAGAGCTTGAACTGAAAGCAGGAATAATTCTCTGATAAGTTTATGAACAGTTGTCCACTTAAGTTAACCAACAACTGCTCTCATTGCAGTCAGCAGTTGAAATATATGTATTGTCATTTAATATAAATAATGTCTAAAGTAAAATCATCTTCTCTTCTGCAGTTTTGCTCTGTTTCTGGTGCATCATTCCTTTTCTTTCTCCTAAACTAATACTAAAGAATCAGGTTAGAGTTAAGATGTCCTTTCATGCCAAACATGAATAATTTATCAACAAGGGGGAAGAATATGAATTCACCAGGAGACAGCTGACTTGTGACTCCAAAGTAGAGACAAATAAAGGATTCCAAATTTCCAATGACTTTTTAGATGGTTCAATGCAAGGAGAAATCAGGAAGCTACAGACATGCTACAGTGCAGCCTTTCATATACAATAAAGCACAGTGCAGTACAACACAACACAATGCAACAGCTTGAGAGGTATGAGAAGATTTTCACACCACTGAAATTGTTTGTGAATCCTATGGTAAAATAATCCATGTCAGGACAACAGTCTCGCTCCTTGGCCTCTGCTGATTCATACTCTTCGATGTCATTAATGAAGACAAAACATCTGAAAGCAAAGTTTTGACCAGTATTTTGATGCAAAAAAATAATAATCTGATGTGCAAATTATATTTCTCCCCATACAAAGACTGCTTTAACTTGCTGGAAGAGTACAAAGTGAACCCAGTAAAGGAAAACCTGCTCAGCATGTGTACATGAAGTATAAGGGTCTCCTTTCCTCTTGTCAATAGGACAAAGCTTATGAATAACCCCTTAAGACATACATTGTCATGACACGAAGCCCACACATACATTTATCTTTATATAGTTGTGTGCATTTCTATTATTTTGACATATATAGGGGTAGGAGTCTATGTCTCATGTGCAAACACTGACTTTGCATATTTGGATACAACATTGCATGTTAAAAACACGCCTGGGCACAGTATTACCCCTGCATCTCCACAATCATTACGTCATCATTCTAAAATACTTCACTGTATAACGTCTCCATAGCTTCATATAACAATACACATACACCAAAGAAAAAAACTGAGAGGACATAAATAGGCTCACATTTGTTTAAATTTTGTAGGCATTTTCAGCAAAATAAGCAAACTCCTCTTGAAGTTCAGAAAGCACAGAGTGCCCTGCAGCAAGACTTCTACCCAGCAAAGTGCACCACCTTCCCCATGGGTGAGATTAGGTCCTCCAGACATGACCTCTTGCAAGAGGCTCATTGCAGAGGTGCTGCGTTCTGCCTCACAGTCACAGACACGGAAAGGTGGACAGATTTTGCATGTCTCATTTGTCAGCATGATGATGGGAAAAAGTCACCCAATGCCAAGAGCTCCAGCAATACTGTATAACACTTCATTTATGAGCTAAAAGCTCAACAGGGATTTAAATGAATTAGATCCTTGTGCACGAGAGAAAATTAACCCTTACTGAGTAAACATTTTTTATTAGTGGGTCAGAATTAGATAGGACATGTTGCTTACAACTCAGTACAATTTGAATTAAATGAAATTAAAATTAAATGAATGGCAAACAGTGTCTTTGAACGTTTCTTTTCCATAATTGTTTTTTTCTTTTTTTGTTTTATGATCAGAGAGTTACACCAGCTCCTCTTTTCCATGTGGGTAGCAAAAACAAAGATAACTTCTGAAAACAGAAGAAATAAATCATATTTCAACACACACAAATACAAGGCTCTCTCTCTGGTTTCACTTGAAACAAAAACAAACCTCCCCAAAAACCCACATTATGAAGCACAGTAAAAGTTTGCCAAGTCTCTTCAATGACCCAGAAACTGATTATGATGTACTGAATTCTGCAAGTTAACAAATCTGTCCACATGCATGATAGCAAAACAAAATGTTAGGGCTCTGTCACCGACTGGATTTATTATTCAAAATTACTCAGCTCCAATGGCAGAGTGATTTCTAGGGAAAATTTCTGGTGGATAATTGGATGACATCAACAGGCATGTAAAGATGTTATTTGCAGACACCAGCAGATGCTTTTTCAGTGCAAGACTTCAGCCAGCTATGCTGCAGAGGACTACATGGTAACCCCTGACTCTGAAAATGCCATGGTGACACTGGAGGGCTGAAGTCAGTTCTCCATCCTGGCATTTGCACCTTCTTTTTTCTCCTCCTCCTCTTGTCTCTATATTCATCAGCATAATCACATGTGAACTAGCTGTGCTGTGTTTCATGCTCCCTTATGGAGCAGTGGGGACAGAGCCATGGAAGTTTCTCTCAGATATGTCACCCCCATAGCACAAGGCATAAGCAAGACCTGACCCAAAGTTATCCCAAGCCAATCGAAATCCCTCTCCTCATGGCATGTGGCACAAAACACAGTACCATTATTTTCACAAAAATGTAGACTGACAAGAGGTTCCTACCATTTTAAATGCGTGTGTGCTGCACCTAGCAAAGCCAAGGGGTCTTAACTATATGATACTGAATTTGCATACGTGAGGAGGCAGGTCAGAAAATGAAATTACATTTGCTGTTCAAAATCCACCTTTGCTAGCCAAGTAGTTCTGCCTTTCTTATTCAACTGTTTTGAGTTTCCATTGTCAGGGAGCACTTGGGAACTTAGTCTTGGGTGGACTCGTGGTTTGTGCCATTATTTATTCCTTCAGCCTTCATGTGTCTTCTTGAGAAAGCTGTGTCTGAAAGCTGTGTTCCTTTCTGAAAGAAACATGCTTATAAGCCACATGTGCTTACAGAGGCTTACAAATATCTCATCAAATCAAACAAGTCCAAGTGGGTGAAAGGCAGTTTTGTTTTCCTGCTATGAATTTTTCAATCACACCTATTTTTATGTTAGCAAAGGAAATCCCCATGATTAAATAACTACAAGCCATTTAACAAACATGAACTCAAACAAGTACTTATAAAGAACAAAAACAAATGCTTCACTCCAAAAGGTATGTTTTCCTTTTCAACACTTCTTCCGTTAAAAGAGAAACATAAATTTAACTGATTTTTGCGTGTTTTTATTTTTTCTAAGCAAAAAAGTTATTCCCTTCCCCCATCCCAGATGGCTCGATGTTGACTCAGAGCAAGGAACATGGGAGGTTATACAAACAAGAGCCTAGTTTGACAACCCATTTTGACTTGGCTAATACCCCTCCACTGCCATAACCAAGTCTCTGCTAACACTTTCATTCCTTTCTTATTTTCTCTGAGTACATTGCACTCCACTCAGCTGAATCACCAGGATTTCTTTTCTTTCCTTTCAATGAGGTCCTTTCTTTCCAAGCCTAGAAGGGAGAAATACTTATTTCTCAAATGCAGCACTTGATGGGGTATGCTTCTTGCAGGTGAATTGCAGAAATATTAATTTTCACAGCGGCAGCAGGCATGCTTTTCCCTCTGCTCCCCCATTTCAAAGTGGCAGCACTGCACAGCTGAGTGCCCAGCTGTGGCACCCAGATGTATACATCTGCCCCCCAGCACTACTTGATCAAAAATATCAAATTGTAAGCTGATCTTAACACAAATGCCAAAGCTCTGAGTCTGTCCCATACATACAGCCTCAGTCCTGGAGGAAAATCTCCAAACAAAATGATCCTGTTAATTCAGACTTCCTTATAGGCTTCTTTATGGAGGCCTGAAATACAACTTTTAAAGGGGTATCGGGGTGGTTTTTTTGATTTGCAAGGCAGTGGGCAGTGTCAGCCTGCTGGTTCAACTCCTCCACAACACGAATCCAGGTTCTGCTGGGGGAAGTCATGGGATCCCATCCAGATGCGTGGTGGCACAGTGGCACAACAGTCCGGCATAAGTCGTGTGGGCTCCTGCAGAAAACACTCCATGGCATCCACCTGTCTGCCAGACCACGTGGTTCCAGAGAGGTTTTGGCATGGCTGCCCCAAGAAGGGATGCAAAGGACAGGTTCTCAGGGTCTGACACCCTATGAGTTGCATCTGCAAAGTATCCCAGCAAAATCCAGCCCTGTGGTTTGGAAACCTCCAGATCAGGCTCTCTGAACATATGGTGTTATTTTCACAGCACTTGACTTTCTTCTAGGATAGTTCAGATGGTACAATCACACTCCCAAAATTACGTCACTGCTTTCTGAGTTTAATGGCTACAGCTAATCATTGCTCACAGCTCTCCCATTTTCCTCTTCCCCTGAGAGATGCCTCCAGCTGCATGTACTTCACTCACGGCTGCTTTGCACACTTTCTTTGCTCCCACTCTTGTGCCACTCCAAGGGGCTTGGAATCCATGAACCACACGGTGGCAGGGGCGTGCATGTCCTGCTCCTTCCAGTTGATGAGTTTTCCCTGGCCAGTCTCCAAAACATGTTGGAACCATGCATCTATCAGCATGCCTCACCACACACTGGGCTAAGGTAAGTAAAGCTTGGCAGGTTTGCATTTTCTTGCACAGCATTGCTACTGCAAGCAGGATTTCCTCCCTGATGAATGGGGCCCTCTGATTTCTCTCAGTGAGGTCTCTTTGACGGAGTAGAGCAGGACTGAGCAAATAAACTCGCCCCTGTAGGAATCAAAACACTGTTGAGAGTTTTGTAATCTGAAGTTGAATACAGGAGTGAGGAGAACATTTTGAAGAGATCCTAGATGTCTGAGGGTGGAAACTTTATTTAACAATGAAGTGGCTCAGGAGATCTGTAGCTTATTCCCACCAAAACTCTCAGAGGTAGGGTTTTAAATCACTTAAATCTCTGCAGACTGTGCAGCAAGGAGGGGCAGCTGCCAGACATGCCAGTAGGGACCATGCTCTGTGAGGCTCTTGGCTGGACAGAATGTGCTCCTACCTGCAAGGCTGGGTGTGGGCAGAACGAGCACAGCTCTCACACAAAATAGCACCAAAACGACCTACTTTGTGAGGCACTCCTGAGTGCTGTGGAGATGGAGAGGGGCCGAGCCTTGGACAGCGGGAGCATCCTAAACAGTAAAGCAAGGGTGAAGCCAAGCACTCAGGGAGCCAGGAGATGTGGAGGGAGCCAGCAAAGCACACAGCACACAATTCAGAGAACCCCTTAAGCATGTATTTAAGTGCTGAGCTAATTCAGGACCACAGGATGTCCACTCAGTTGGCCGTGGTGGATCTCAGCCTATCAGCTAGCATCCCACAGAGAGAAGAGGGGCAGCTCAGTCCCCTACAACTACAGATGGCAGAGGTGAAGACAGCACAGGGATGTGGGCAGAGGTTCACCCTGTTGTAGCAGAGACTGCCTGCATACAGAGGGATGGTCCTCAGAGTAGTGCACTTCTCTGGGCAGTCACACTGAGTTATTACCATACAGTATCTTCTCCCTTTTACCATGTTGTTTTTTTTTTTTTTTTTTTTTTTTTTTGTTTCTTTTGCTGTTATTTTGTTTTTGGGGTGGTTTTCTTTGGGGTTTTTTTTGTTTTTTTGGTTTTTTGGGTGGCTTTATTTCCCCCCCCCCAAGCTTCTTTCTTTCAAAATTTCCCATCTTCATTCTTAATGGCGGAAAAGTCACAGCCTACATGTGTTGTGCAGATCTCTGGGCCCACCTCCCTCTCTGAGGGTTTCAACAATTGGTTGTTTTCTGCGCAACAAGACGGATTACAGCCCTGTGGTATCCTTCTGCATTCTTTGAAATCTTCCCCTCTCTCAGGGGAAGAATCTGTTTCTGATGTTAATGTAGTGCTACGTGTTTGTAAAGTATTACGGTCCGGCATGCTGTCACCACAACATGGTGATAAATTAAGAGTTTAATTTCAGTTTTATTTACACATGCAGATTAATAAAGGCAGAGGACAAGGCGGGGAAGGACTACAGCAGTGCTAATATCTCTGCCTCACTCGCTTCACTCGTGTGTTTCCAGGGGCTGTAATTGCTTTGTCCTGGTGTCGATACACAAAAAGCAAGAAAATTGAAGATTTAGTAGAATCAGTAGTATTTTGACTTGTATTATAGAAAGAGAGAGTTTAAGAAAGACTCCTGGGAAGCAGAGCTAACTTCAATCCTTCTCATTTGCTTTAAGTTTCTCCTCTTCACTCTAATTGCTGCAAGAAAGAACTTTGCCCCATGTTTCTGAAGCACACCCTCGAAGTTGTAGGACAGCAGAGAAATGGTTGTGCCAGCACTTGGAGCAGACAGGAGCACAGGTGTCAGCAGGCCCTCCCAATGCAGGCACCAGCCCACCCAACGCACCCAGCAGCTGACAAAGGCACAATGGCCAGCAACCGATGGGGAGGTGGGCAGGATGTGGTACTCCAGCCACAGTCACACTCACTGCTACCTCATGGGTCTTCTCAGGCACAACCTTTGTGGAGGCATGGGTGGATGAGAGCCAGGACGAGGTCCTGCAGGAAGTCCTGTGGAACATAGCTTCATATGTCCACTTGCCACACACAGGAAATCCCACGCTCGTGTCCTCCACACCTCACAGCCATCCCGTATCTCATCCCTGTGAAAGAAAAAGACATGGTCAGAAAATGCCAAGGAAAGGACCAGAATGGAGACCCCTTGGATCTTAGCATGACATTTTAAGTGGACTGAAGTGTTACAAATAGAGGAACCACATTTCGGCTGTAATACATAAAAATTGTGCTACACATCAGAAATGTTTCAAAGAGTGTTAATTTATAGATGCTTTTATAAGGAGGACAAGTGCGTATATTACTTTTTCTTAAAAGTGCAGCTGTAACAGCAAACCACACACACACTCTGTAGGTTTTATAACCTTGCTAATTTTCCATAAGTCTTAGGAGCTATTCGTGGTAACTGTAAAGCTGTTTTGTTTCAAGCTAAGAAAAAGAAAATTAAAAACAAAAGTCTTTGTTTTCAGAATACAACTAATAGCTGAATTTAAAAAAAAAAAAAAAAGAAAGAAAACCAGCAAAAAAAGAAAAGAAAAAAAGAAAAGCCAGCAATGTCAAGGAGAATATTTCATAAAATTTACTCTGTATTCAGGCAATTAAGTTGGGTTCTTATTCTTATTCCTATCCATATCAATGGAAAAATTGCACATAAAACTTGCAGAGATAGATGACAACCTAAGGAAATGTTGGATGAATCAGTAACAGTTTTGGCTGTGTACAGGAAATACACAGTCATCAGAACAAAGATCCTGGGAGTATTGCACTGGATGAGGTGCTTGTATGGAGAGGAATGAAATCCCAGCTCTGCAACAGATTTCCTTCCATATTCCCATGTGTGAAATAGGCATCTACAATGCTAGTTTAGGGAGATGTGCAGGAAGGTCAAATACTGCAGTAAGGAGGATCATTTAGGAACCAGGACTGAAATCCTCATCTGTTCCCATCACCAGTAAGGCATCCACCAGCCGTTTTATTTTATAGCAACTCTCAAGGCTTGGAATGATATTTTTCTCCCATAAGAGAAGGAAACAAAGTTTTGCATGGCATCATTTCAGAATAGCTCAGTATCAGGGTACAGTGCAGAAGACTTGAGTTCATCCTCCCAGCTTTTTTATTTAAGCAAGGACAAGCAGAGCTCTGACTGCAGGTTTGCCCAACTACCTGTGCAGAAGAGATAGAAACAGCATTCTCTGTAACAAAACAGTTGCAGCAGGCATAAAAGGAAAATCTTCTGCCAGAGCTCTAACCACAGTCCACAGTTTTTAGCAAAATATTTTAGCTGTGTCTTAATATCAGGTGGGAGGGGAGGGTCTGCACAGAAATGTTTGTATTTGCCTTTAACAGCCTAAAAATGGGACTGAACTTTTTCATTCTTCCACTTCTCTGCACATTTGTCTCTGTTCAATGGTTTCAGAGAAAAAAAAAATCACTTTCAAATCCATAAGGAGGTCCAAAATGCTGCTCACATTCCAAAATCACTGGGAGAGTTCCCATAATAAAATATTTGTTGGAAAGGCACCAGGCCATATTAAGTATACAGAGGCAGACCTAACTCTCACTTTGATGGGCCTGCGACAGAACACGAACATTATTTGAACTATACACAGATTTCATACTTAACTTAAAGCATTTCTTCACCTGTTGAACAGCATTTTATTTACTCCCATGTGTTATTATTTCATTAGTTGCTCTACTTTAGCTGCACTTAGGTGATACTGCCAATCTGTTTCATAGACATAAAAGTATGTATCTGTGTATTGCCGTTGGAGATTTCAGGTGCTAACGGTGCTAATTCCACTATCTCAAGATATATTTTACCAGCTGAAGAGTGCACTACTAAGCTTTTCATTAACTTAATAAAAATGAAATTCTCTGAGCAGAAAATCATAGATTTTTGTATCCTATTCTCTTTTTTTTTTTTTTTTTTTTCAATATTACTCTAATTTTCATTTGCTTGTGATTCTTTACATCGTAATGAGAAAACATCATATGAGAGACTTAAAACTAAATGCTCTGGAAACAAGAAAAGGAGTTAAGAAAGTTCATAATGGCACCTAGAGATTCACCAAAACAGTTATTATACTCCAGCTGGACTGCCCAAGTCCATGGGGCAGGATGGCTTTCACCCAAGAGTGCTGAGGGAACTGGTGGAGGCAATAGCCAAACTGCTCGCCATTATCTATCAGTGCTCTTTGTTGACTGGTGAGGTCCCAGAAGACTGTAGGCTTGCCAGCATGACTCCCATCTACAGGAAGGGTTGTAAGGAGGATCCGGGGAACTACAGGCCTGTTAGCCTGACCTCAGTGCCAGGGAAGGTTATATATATAAGGCTCAGGGGAGACCTTATCGCTCTCTATAACTACCTGAAGGGAGGTTGCAGTGAGCTGGGGGTCTGTCTCTTCTCTCGTGTAACAATGATAGAACCAGAGGGAATGGCTTCAAGCCACCTTAGGGAAGAGTTAGGCTGGATGTTATGAACTTTTCTGAAAGAGTGGTCAGGCACTGGGCACAGGGCACCAGGAAGGTGGTGGAGTCACTGACCCTGCAGGTGTTCAAGGAATGTTGGGATTTTGTGCTGAGGGATATTGTTTAGTGAGATCTATTAGTGATAGGTGGATGGTTGGACTGGATGATCTTGCAGATCTTTTCCAACCTTGGCGTTTCTGTGATTCTGTGATTCTGTAAAATGTTCCCATCCAAGCTATAAAAAGCTGTGGCTAGCTATACTCATCAGTACACAGCAATGGTATCATCAGCTTGCTGATATATCTTAGAGTCATAGAATGGGTTGGAAGGGACCACAAGGATCATCAAATTCCAAACACCCTGTCACAGGCAGGACCTTCCACCTCCTGATCTGGCACTAGATCAGGTTGTCCAGGACCCTGTCCAACCTGGTCTTGAAAACCTCCAGGGATGGAGTATCCACAGCCTCTCTGGGCAACCTGTTCCAGCACCTCATCACTCTCTCTGTGAAGAACTTCTCCCTGACATCCACTCTAAACCTTCCCTCCATGAGCTTAAATATTCCAGCGGCCACCACCAGACAAACAGAAGATTCAGCTTGTCCATTTTGTTCCATAAATAGAAAGAGAACCTAAATGAATGAGGGAAGAACATTAATATCCAGGAATGCTGCAGTGAAATAGCAGCAACAGAAAGAAGCGCTATACACTGTTTTGTCCTTAAGCCAAGAGAACAGCTTGTGGCTCACAGGGAACAAACAGCCCTTGAAATGAGACTCCTGGTAAAGCTCTTGATAGTCTCCTGCGCTAAAAGACACCAGGATTTCCACCTCTAAGTATTGCCTCTACTTCTTGTGCAGGGAATACTTTGTGCAAGTATTCCTTGTAAAATGTGTTGACACTGAGGTATTTCAAATAAATATGCTGTTTTATTGCATGCTAAGATTTGTTAAATTATTATTATTGTTCTGAATCCAAGTCTTTTCAAGTGAATTTTGCATAAAATCTCAGAATACACAAAGAGAAAGTCAGAAACATGCACAATGAAAGTTGAGAGTGCTGTCTGGAACCTTTGTAGTCATTCACCAAATTCACAGAAAAAAATTGTTTTCTTATTAGACTTCAACAAATGAAAACTTTCATATTAAACGTGGAAAGTCTTCTCAACTATTTTTATCCCCTCCATCTTAAACTGAGTTCTGCTGTAGTACACATGAAATAGGTCTCTCAGACTACAACATTCTCTCTATATTAAAAAAAACACAACTAGTTGATAAGGGAAGACAAAATAATACCAGGTGACACAGCAAGCGATGGATTTGCCAGAGAACAAGATTTTCAGTATGCCTCATTGCTGAATTCTCAGTTTTAGCTAATTCATTTAATAGGACTAAAGAAATTATAAGCAAAACCATATAAGCTCCTTTTCTTCTGTGTAGGATGCACAGACAAATCACACTTTGCACCATCCCTGTGAGAAGTGACAGCAAGAGTAAGCCAGACTGAATTCAGCAAAGATCAAAGAACAATTAAGAAGCAATTATCTTGCAGCTTTGGAGTTTAAAGTGGAGGAAGGGAGGCTGTGTTTCAAATAATTTGAAATGAGACACTGGTCTTAAAAAATGTGAGTCAAGTCTACTAACTCAGCTTTGCTGAACAATAACTGATCAAACAGGGTCTTGGAGTTAGCAGCAGCTAAATTCAGGAACTTATTTCTGCCCTAATGCACTCAAAGTACAGACTGTGTACTGGAGACTGCATATCAACACCACCACCCACAGCTGCACACAGCATACCTCCTTCCAAAGCAGGAAGCAAAAACGGCTTTTCTTCTATTTCCATCAGAGATACATAGCTTAAAATCAGCATGCCTATGGTTCATAGGAAAACAGTCACAACAAGCTTAACTCTGCTCCCCAAATGCGCTGTTCCACCAGCAGTATCATCTCCAGTCTCCAGAAGGTCCAACCAAAAGCAGAGAAAAATTTTTTTTTTTACCAAAAGCAGAGAAAATTCAGCAATTATCCCTGAGTGACCAAAAAGACAATGCACGTGCATTCCTTAAATGCAACGAGAAACAGTTTAATGCAAAAGTTAAGCACGGTGACTTCACTCAAAGTCTGTATTCGACTTCCCTATGGATAGATTGTGTGATCTACAGTACCCAATTTTTCTAGTGTCTGGAAATGGAGGATACAGATATCAACTATACACTGAAACATACAGGAGTTGAGTGTTACCAGCTGTTTTGTACTCAGAATACAAATCTTAAACACTGAGAGTTCCATGGCTCTAACCATGCTTCTCTGCAAATCCTAACTTTCATTAATAAGGCTTGGAATTACAGTCTGTGTCTGGGTGTGAAAGTCCCATTAGAATCCTACATTTCTGTAACTTACAGGCCACGCCAAAAGAGAAGAATTTGTTGGCAATCTCTTCTCAGTGATCATTCTTCAATTCTTCTTACTACAACTAATATTCAGCATCACTTGGCCGGACATTTCAGAGCAATAAATTTCTCAAAATGAAGTTTATCCCATAAAAGCCTGGTGAGGTGCAGCTCATTAATGCCAAGTACCTTGTACTGTCTGAGAGAGAATTAGCTATTTGACCTTGTAATA